AAGTACAGTAGTCCCCTTTATCTGTACATAATCTACACACACCCTCCTGTATACTTTAAATCATCTGTAGATTAGACTATCTGTGGCCAGTTACGAACCTGCCCACACAGTAGGGCAGGAGTGAAGCTGAGCTCCACCTCCTGTCAGATGAGCAGGGCATTAGATTCTCATGAGCTCAAAGCCTATTGTGGACTCACATGAGAATGATCTAGCTTGAGCACTCATTATGAGACTCTAATGCCTGGTCATCTGTCACTGTATATATTACACTTAATAATATATACATATATGGATTATATATTACAATGCAATAGTAATAGAAATAAACTGCACAATAAGTGTAATGGTTTGAGTCATCCTGAAACCATCACCACCCACCCCTGCACCCACTGGTCCATGGAAAAATTGTCTTTTACAAAACTGGTGACCCCTGGTGCCAAAAAAGTTGGTGACCTGCTGCACTAGAGTTCTTAGAATATAAGGCAAGATTACTGTTTATAAAAAGCTGCTTATAGAATGTTCCAAAGGCGAGGACACAGAAACTTTCAAAAACTCTCTCCTACTATGCAATAAATGTCTCTTCCTCCACAATCTGATTTTACCCTCACTGTTCAACCACATTCTTCCAAAACCCCCATGAGCACTCTCCAACCTAGTCACACTATCACTCACTCACCACCGTGTGATCTTTTTCACGTCCAGATGCAGCAGTGAGCTCTTTCTCAAGGATGGCCCATCACCTGCAGTGCTCTTCTGGAAACCTCCCTGTGCCTCTCTCCGTTTAAACCCAGTGTTCTTTTGGAGGCCCAGCTGTTGTTTGATTCACCCCATGATTTATTTGCCTACTCCAGCCTGCCTCTCATCCCCATCTCCACAGTTCCTATGTGGGTTCTACAATACATAATTGAACATCTCACTGGAATCTTATGTTTTGTTCTTGACACTCAACTAGATCATAAACTCCTGGATAGAAGACCACTTTTTTCAATTTTGTATCCCCCTCAGTACCTAGTACCAAAGGATATACACTAGTTAGCTGATAAATCCCCTTGATAACCAGAAATGCAAGCATACCCTTTAGCCTGGCAACTGCGTTTCTAGAAATTTACATTACTAAAATACTCACATAAATATGAAAAATAGTTTGATCAAAGATATGCATTGTAGACTGTGATAATAAATTAGAAGTAACATAAATATCTAGTAAGACTAGTGACGCCAGGCACAGCAGCTTACACCTGTAATCCCAACACTTTGGGAGGCCAAGGTGGGAGGACTGCTTGAGCCCGGGAGTCAGAGGTTACAGTGAACGATGATCACACCACTGCCCTCTAGTTTGGGCAACAGAGCAAGACCCTGTCTCTAAAAAAAAAAAAGAAATAAAAAAGAATGACCAGTAATTTGAGTCCATACTGCTCATTAAAAAAAAAAAAAAACTTGGAATATGTATACACATAGACATAACAAAATAGTAGGTGAAAACAATTGCAGAAAATCGAATAGTCCTATTTTTGTTTATTCATACAAAATTTAAAAAAACACATACATTTTTAGATTGATGATGTCTGGTAACTAGGATATAATTTTTACTTAGTTTGAAAAAAAAAATGAACAGAACACACATGATGTTTGCAGTAACAAATATTTATGTTTTTAACTCACTGCCCCCAGACAGTAACTTATAAAACAATTTATAATATGAACCCATTTTGTTTAAAGTAAGAGAAATAATAGTTATTTCTGGAAAAGGAAGTACAGGAAACTTTCACATTCTAGGGTAGATAGTTGTTTTTCCTCAAATAATGGGCACTTACTTTAGTTATAAAAAAAGAAAAAATTTTAAAAAGAATTCCGTTTTTCTCTGGGCTAGTGATCATTCCAGAGGGATATTTTTGGTCCAGAAAACTTTTCTTAGTTACTCCTTAATCTGTAAAGAACTACCAACTACCTTTATTGTTGGATTGCCCACTATACTAAATCTTAATAAGCATTACAGATAAATCTTTCTAGCAAATCAAATTCACAGAAGATGTTATCAGAAAAACTTTTCTCCCAGGTGAGTATTAAACATTAAATCTATTTGATAAAGGGAATCTCTCCAATGAAAAATTAACCTCAAAAATTTAATGAATTATTGTAAAAGACCCAGCATTAAACTGGCCCTTACAGTAATAGTTCTGTTGTTAAATACCTCATACATATCTAGAGTAATCACAAACTTGCCCAAATCCCTGTTTCAATGCCAAACTAAAGATAAGACAAGAATCCTACATAGTTTTAACCATAGGAACAACAGGAGAAAACTGTGAGAACCACCCAAGGGAGCTGGATTCTGTTCCCTGGACCTGTACTTCATAATATATCACCATTCCCCTACGGGCCTTGCTCCAATGTGGAATTTACAAAGCAGTCAAGGCCTTCTCCACTAAGCCTCTAATAAAAGCAAAGGAGGCCGAGCTATCTGCTCCCTCCTTTTCCATCTCAGCACCCACCCTGAGATTCAACTGCCGTTTTGCTTTCCCCTCAAACTTCCTGCTGAATAGTTTACAGCTATAGAAGCTAAGTGCTTGCTGTGTGCTAATTCATTCATACACATAATAATCCTGTGATGTGTTCCTATATTACAGATGAAGACACGGAAGTACACGCTCAAATAGGTATTAAGTGGCAAAGGTAGGATTTAAATCCAGATACTCTAATTCCTCAATACAATCTTTACTCCGCAGCACTCAGTATCTCTGATACACTTCTTTTAACCTAAAAACCATTAGAGATCTTCAGACAGTAAGGCTTGTAGGTTTCAGTAACAAATCTGAAAGTCAAAAGATCACCCAAATCAAATGTTTGCTGTAAAAAATGCTGTTTGTCCTCCTGAGGCTGGATAAATGAGAACCAGGAAATTTGCAAAATGTGCCTGCCAATGCCTTTTGGGGGTTTTTTGGTCTGTTTCCCTAGCCGGAGTGCAGTGGCACAATCTCAGCTCACTGCAACGTCCACCTCTCAGGTTCAAGCAATCCCCCTACAATTCTCTCACCTCAGCCTCCAGAGTAGCTGGGATTACAGAAGCGCGTCACCACACACAACTAATTTTTGTACTTTTAGTAGAGACAGGGTTTCCCTATGTTGGCCAAGTGGGTCTTTAATTCCTAATCTCAGGTGATCCTCTCGCCTCAGCCTCCCAAAGTGCTGGGATTACAGGCGTGAGCCACCACGCCCGGCCTTTTTTTTTTTTTTTTTAACTCTTGAAAATCTGTTTAAGGTAATAAACACTCAACCTTTTAACCTAATAAAATAATAACCAGGTTAAGATTCTACTTCTGTAACTGTTTTCTTTCACCAGTAAAATCAGACATAAACATGTATATAAAGCACTTAGCATGACTGGGTGTGGTAGTTCACACCCATAATCCCAGCACTTGGGAGGCTGAGGCAGGAGAATAGGATCACTTGAGCCCAGTAGTTTGAGACCAGCCTAGGCAACACAGGGAGACCCCTTCTCTACAAAAAAGTTAAAAATTAGCCCAGTGGGGCAGTGCACAACTGTAGTCCTAGCTACTCCAGAGGCTGCGGTGGGAGGATGGCTTGAGCACGGGAGTCGAGGCTACAGTGAGCCATGATGGCACCACTGCACTCCAGCCAGGGCAACAAAGCAACACCCTGTCACAAACAAAAACATGACTCGAATAAGGAGTCAATGTCACCTACTACTCCGAGCATGTGGAAAAACATACCAGTTAAACGCAATGCCCTAAACAAGACCCATGAATTCCTGGTTTTTTTTTACAAGACCCATGTAAACATTTAAAAAATTATGCTTTCTGTTTAAGTGTATGAGTTATAAACAAGAAAGTAAAAACTAATGGTTAATTAAAAATAACATTACCAAATTATCACATAGATGTTAATTATTACACAAGAATGAATGCTACTAACAATTAACCTGCCTTATAAACTCATTCATTCCATTTGTTCCCATGTGAAGTATCTGAATGTCTTGTTTTCAAGTTTTTTTTCCCTCTTTCCTATGCCATTCCTTCTCTTACCTTCAGCAATGAGGTAATAATCTTTGCTTTCCTTCTTTCCTCCACGCACCCCTCACACAATGTATCCCTTATCTAATTATGTGTTTGAGATTCCAGAGACTAATCCAGAAACAAGGCGACAACTGAATTCTCCCCCACCTGGAAATTACTTCAAGGCTGCAGTTAATTTGCAACCAGGTTATACTAGAGATGGCGCCAGCCCATTCACCAGATGAGGCAATAACCCAAGATAAATCATCTGAGCAAGTCAGGTAGACTGGGACCCTGGCGGCCCAATACCAAGCTCCCCTTTTTAAGCCCTTGCATTTTATCCAAATTTGAAATGGTTTCTTTAAGGCAGGGTGTGGACCACTTCCCCATTGCTAGCTTTGGAAAACAGTCACTTTCCTTTCTGGGCACTTCGTCCTTGTTGATTGGCTCTACAACCAGCGAGCAGCCCAGCCTGCGCTAAATTACACGGCACTTTCAAATTTTAGAATAAAAAATCCTAAGTGTTATATTGGAAGCACTTGATATATCCACTGACCAATCTTTTATTGGGTAGGCTTGGGGCACTTTCAATGGATTAAAAACGCATCATGGACAGGCAACGATGACCTTCCTTAATGCCTGCAACGTCTAATGTTCCGCTATATTCCAGATTGGTTCGCGCTGCCGGTAGAGGCTCAACAGCCGGGGTTACAGGTGACGCTTACTGGGCTCCAGGCGGACTACATACAACTATATCGTGTCATTTCGTCCTCGCAGCGAGGACTGATACGTATGCTCCTTTTTCATATGAGGAAAATGAGGCCGGCGAGGGGCTGAGTGATATGCTTAGCCGTACAAAGCTAGGAAATCAGGGACAGAACCCAGACTGGAAATTATGCTGGCTCTAGAGACCCGTCCTTTCGACCTGTTCCGGTAGCTGAGGAGGGGTACGTCAGTGATACTAAAACGTGTAAAGAAATACAGTACCAGTGGAAAGCAGGGGCTCCAACGGGGTAAAGGCATGCTCCATAACGGATTATTCGCCTCTGCATTAAAAAAAAAAAAAAAAAGTGAAGTTAGATTTTCTCAATTCGAATTAAACATCGCGCGAAACCAACAGTACGCGAGACGCCTGAGCCCGGCACTCGGCGGCGCGCTCCGGGACCGAGGAACCAGTTGAGCGGCGACGCAGCACCCAGCGTTGGGGACCAGCCACCGCTCGCCTGCAGCGCCGCAGCGGGCGGGGAGTCCCCCGGTAGGCCGGCTTGCGCCGGCGGCTGTGAGGTCTTGAGGTTTGCTCCTGCGGCCCTCCCTGCGGGCCCGTCACCATCCGGGCAGCTGGGGAGCGAGGGGCGGCCGCCCCCTGCCGCGACCCGAGCGCCCGGCTGCAGTCGCACTTACACAATGGCGGGTGGAGCCACCGAGTGGGGAGCCCAGGCTGCGGGAGCGACGGCGATCGACCGCTCGGCGCGCGGCTGAGTAGCCTCGGCGCGCGGCCCAGGCTCGCAGGTTTTAGCCCGCGGGATGCTAGGTGGCCCCGCCCTCTTCCGGGAGCCCCAGGCGCTTGGGAGACGCTCCCGGTGCTCTGCGTCCGGCGCCCCCTGCCTCACGTCTCCAATGCTGCGTTTTCTGAGCTGGTTCTTTTAGCTGCAGTATTGCTGCCTGGCCCTCTGCTCTCAGATTTAGCAAGGAGGCCACCATTTGCTCGAACCTAAGTGGCGAATTCCCGTCACCCATGCTTAACCTGGCTTCCGAGGTAAACAAACTTTCCACTGCGCTGCTTCTAGTCCTGCTTGCTGTGTCCTTTCTGGGCCGTTCGGTTAAAAGGTTTCCTTCTGGGCCGGGCGCAGTGGTTCACGCCTGTAATCCCAGTACTTTGGGAGGCCAAGGCGGGCAGATCACAAAGTCAGGAGTTCGAGGCCAGCATGATGAAACCCCGTCTCTATTAAAAATACAAAAAAGTAGTCGGCCGTGGTGGCGCGCGCCTGTAGTCCCAGCCACTCAGGAGGCTGGGGCAGGAGAATCGCTTGAACCCGGCAGGCGGAAGTTGCAGTGAGCTGAGATCTAACCACTGCACTTCAGCCTGGGCGACAGAGCAATACTCCTCCCTCTCCAAAAAAAAAAAAGCTTTCCTTCCTTAGGGAACACTTCATTAAGAGCTTTCTTGTTTTGGGGAAAGAGAATTTTTTTGTTGAAGAAACTTTAAGCCACCTATCTGCCGCTGCAAAGCTCACTCTTGCAATACAGGCTTTTCCAATACTAAGCAAGCCTAATCACCCCCAAAAAGTTCTTTCTTAGACAAATTATCTCTCCCTGTACCTGCTGCTCTTCTTCCTCCATTGTAAAGGAGGCAAAACTTCACCTCTACCGTCTTAAGGTCTCCACCTGGGCCTGACAGGTTAAATTGATATAAGACAGTTTAACAGGAGAAAAGCTTACAGCTATGTGCGTAGGAGTCCACAAGAAATGACCCAAAGAAGTAGGAAGTCTAAATGCTTACATATAGGTTTAGCTACAACAAATCTCAAAAGTCCGTGTTTAGATATGACCTTAAGGAACCTAAAAGACAGTTGGGGTACAAGGAAAATATCTGCCTACATAAAAGTGGTTGCTGTATTTATCTAACGAAGAGTTGTTACCGGTTGATGTGTCCAGGTTCTTGGCGTCTTGAACAAAGAATTGGACAAAACCCACAAACAATCCAAGGAAAGAAGGAAGCAACAAAAGCAGAGATTTGTTGAAAATGAAAGTACACCCCATAGGTTGAGAGCCCTAGAGCACATGGGCTCAAGATCCCCGTTAGAGAATTTTCTGGGGTTTAAATGCCCTCTAGAGGCTTCCATTGGTTAATTGGCATATGTCCTGTGTAAATGAAGGGGATGAAGTAAAGTTACAAAGTCGTTTACTGGATGGAAGCCATCTGTAAACGGAGACGATGTTTCCTCTTATTGCTGAAGTGTTTCCATTTGACTTAGTTCCAGGAAGTCAGCATGAATCGGCCTTATGTTTCCTGACTCCAGACCCTATTCTCCTGCCTCAGAACTACATACATATTTATTAGTAAAAGGCAAACCAGAAAAATCATGACCAAGGCTATAAACAGGCAAGGCAAATTATAGAATGTAGTCAGATGGCAAAAGCCAGTATTCAGAAGGCAGTCTTCACAATGAATTCAATGGCAGATTGTAACCGATTTTTTAAGTAGTAATAAAAATTTACACTTACTGACCAATTATTATGTTCCAGTTAGTGTTGAGGGGTTTTATATTTTATGTAGTTACACTAAAATATAGGCTCCAGGAGAACAGTGACCAAAATTTTACTGTTTGCATTTGAATCCTCACTCTAGCAGGTTACTTGTTGATGATTTGTCTCCCCCTACCAGAGAGCTAGCCCACTAAGGCCAGGAGCCATGTCTGCTTCCTTCCCTGCTATTTCTCCAGCCACACCGTGTGTCTCACCGAGAGAAGTTCAATAAATGCGAAATGGATTAACAAATAATGGAGAAAAATGGAGAATTATGGTACTTCATACCAGGAACTACAGGCATCCCTCCTTTTATTGTGTTTAGCTTTATTGTGCTTTACAGATACTACATTTTTTACAAATTTAAAGTTTGTGCCAACCCTGCATCAAGCAGGTCTATCTGCAACATTTTTCTGAAAGCATGTACCTGCTTCATGTCTCTGCGTCATATTTTGGTAATTTTCACAATACTGCAAACACTTTCGTTAATATTATATTTATTGTTGCTATCTGTGATCAGTGATTCTTGATGTCATCTTTGTAATTGTTTTGGGGTGCCACCAGCCGTGTTCTTATAAGATGGCAAACTTAATAGATTAATGTTGTGAGTATTCTGACTGCCCTAGTACTGGCCATTCTCGTTTCTCTCTCCCCTTGGGCCTCCCTATTCCCTAAGACAAAACGATATTAAAATCAGGCCATTTTATATCATTAAAATGACCTCTGAGTGTTGAAGTCAAAGGAAGAATTGCATGTGTCTCACTTTAAATCAAAAGCTAGAAATAATCAAGATTAGTGAGAAAGTTTTGTCAAAAGAAATCTAGGCTTTTTGTACCAGTTAGCCAGGTTTTGAATGCAAAGCAAAAGTTCTTTAAGAAAATTGAAACTGCTACTCTACTAAACACACAAATGATAAGAAACATAAACAGCCTTATTGCTATGAAGAAAGTTTGAGTGGTCCGTGGAAAAGATCCAGCCAGCCACAACATTTCCTTGAACCAAAGCCTAATCCAGAGCAAGGCCTGATTCTCGGTTCTCTGAAGGCTGGGAGAGGTGAGTAAACTGCAGAAGAAAAGTTTGAAGCTGGCAGAGGATCATAAGGTTTAAGGAAAGAAGCCATCTCCATAACATAAAAATGCAAGGTGAAGCAGCAAGTACTGATGAAGAAGCTGGCGCAAGTTGTCCAGAAAATCTAGCTAAGGTTATTGATGAAAGTGGCCACACTAAGAATTAATTTTTCAGATGGAGATGAAACAACCTTCTAATGGAAGAAGATGACATCTCAGACTTTCATGGCTAGAGAGGAGAAGTCAATGCCTGGCTTCAAAGCTTAAAAAGGACAGGCTAACTCACTTGTTAAGGCCTAAGGTAGCTGGTGGTTGTCAGTTGAAGCCAATGCTTGTTTACCATTTTGAAAATCCTAGGGTTCTTAAGAATTATGTTAAATGTGGCCAGGCATGGTGGCTCCTGCCTATAATTCCAGCACTTTGAGAGGGAGAGGCGGGTGGATCACAAAGTCAGGAGTTCAAGATCAGCATGACCAACAATGAGGACTTGAAGCATCCATGACTGACCTTGTCAGCAGGTTCAGGCAAAAACAGGGGAGTCATCTGAGAGCATCACAGAAGCCAGTAGAAAGAGACGGAGAGTCTTATCTAACTCATGTGGGAGAGGGTAGTTCTTTGAGGTAATTCATTCTTGGAACACAAAACGGGGGACTAGGGATGGGTTTCAGGAAACAGTAGGGTGAAGGAATTTCTCAGACATCACTGTTTTTCAGTACAGGGCTCAGGCAAGGTTAGAAGCTTCCTGAAAGTTTTACACTAAACTTTTGCTTAAATTGTTCAGAACTTAATCACATGTCTTCATCTAGCTTTAGAGACAGCTGGAGAATGGAGTCTTTTAGATGAGAAATATGAAGGAAAAATATCTTGGGCCTCTTCCAGCTGGGAACCGCTCAGGGCAAATCTGCCTTCCATTCCATTCAAAGTCATTCCCCTGCTCACAGAGATAGATGCTTATCCTGTTTGCCTCCTTTGCAAAGACTTATCAGAAATTCAAAAGAAGGCAACTACCCATGACCTGGAAACCCCCAGTGGGGGAGCCTCGCTTTGAGCTGTCTCTGCCTTTCTGCACAGAACTCATGTACTTCTTACTGATTGATGTCTCATGTCTCCCTAAAATGTATAAAACCAACCTGTGCCCTGACCACCTTGGAGACATGTCCTCAGGACTTCCTGAGGCTGTGTTACAGGTATGTCCTCAACCTTGGCAAAATAAACTTTCTAAATTAACTGAGTCCTGTCTCAAATTTTTGGGGTTCACAGAAGTGATATGGCCAGATTAAAATTGAGGCTACTACTAAAGAGAAAAAGGAGAACAGATGGTGAAAGCAAACTAGCCAAGTAGTTTGTGCCACACCCAGATGACCATAATAACTGTCCACTGTGGCCCTTTTCTACCCTCGCTCCCCTCTGATCTTAGTACTCACTGTGGACACGGATACTGCAAAATTGAGTCATTTTTAGCATACCCAATTAAAACAGAGTCAGGGGGCCATAGGCAAAAGGCGCACATGTCACAAACACCTACTTCAAAACTGTCTCACAAGCTAAATACAAAATGTCAAAGGCCTGCTATGACTTTCAGTTTATAAATTCTACCTTGTAACTGCTGCCACTCAATGACAGAACTCCCAGTTCCCTCAAGATACTGACAGCACCACCTCACCTAAACTTCGTCTTTTCCCCCAATAAAACCCTTGCCTTTCCCTTCCTTCTTTGGACACAACTAGGGGCTACCCTGGCTTGTGTATCCCAAATTGCAATTTTTTGTATGTTATTCCCAAAGAGACCCTTTGCTTGGAGAGTCATCCCTCCCTGTATTTATGGCATATTGACATCAGACTGTAGTCCAAGTTCTTTGTTTGTTTGTTTCTTTTGAGACAGTCTCGCTCTGATGCCCAGGCTGGAGTGCAGTGGCCTGATCTCAGCTCACAGCAACCTCTGCCTCCCGGGTTCAAGTGATTCTCCTGCCTCAGCCTCCTGTGTAGCTGGGACTACAGACGTGCGCCACCACACCTAGCTAATTTTTGTATTTTTAGTAGAGACAGGGTTTCATCATATTGGTCAGGCTTGTCTTGAACTCCTGACCTCATTATCCACCCGGCCTTGGCCTCCCAAAGTGCTGGGATTAAAGGCGTGAACCACCACACCCTGCCCCAAGTTCTTTTTAAGTTGTGAAAAAAATCATATCGATTTGCTGAAAACTTACCAGCTAATTTTAGAATAAAATGCATACTGAAGAGGCCCTGAATAGACTAGCTTTTGTCTATCTCCAATCTTATTTTGCACCATTCTTCTTCTTACACGTGAAGCCCCAGCCAAACTTGTTTCTTCTGTTTTTGAAAAAGTCTTTTCTATTCCTTTTCTCTCTGCTAGAATGTTCATCCTCTTTTCCCCACTTCTTCACATAATTGGCTTATTCTAAGCTTACATAGCACCTCTTCAAAGAAGCCTTCTTTGATTTTTTTAATTTAACCTTCCCTGGTTACTCTATCTTAGCACAGTTTTTCTGTTTGGGAACACTTGTCTTGTTAATTTACTTATTGACTTTCTCTTCCATGACAAGGAAGAGAAATTTGACCTGATCTATTCATTGCTATATTTTCACTGTCAAACACAGTATATGGTACATAGTAAACACTCAGAATTCACACACACACACACGTGTATATATATATTTGTGAAGGATTCATTAGCCACAATAAGATCTACATATCACGCAACGATGTCTATTATATCATAGAATAAATATAAACTAAATCAATGCTATCATTTATTTAATCTATGGATAATATTTAGTGCATGAAACACTTTGGAGACACCTGGTAATCACTCCTTGAACTCCCAGGCATCAACACCCTACAGGCTGGAAGTCACTAGCATAATAGAAAGCATCCTTATTATAGGAGTCAGCAACCTGGCCATCAGAACTGAAGGGAACAGACTCCCTTCTAGTTCGTTAAACCACTCTTACATCTGTGAAAGTTTTATCTTGTTTAAGCCACTCTTATTTAGTTGGGATCTTTGGGGGGTGAGGGGGCAAGAGTTGGTTACATGATACTCACTTTTTGTCCTAACTGATACATCTATTAACAAATGATGGCAAACTGATCTAGAGTGAACAGAGTGAAAAGATTTGGAAAATATTTTGGGACTAGAATTGACTTTTTTGGTTATGCATTAGATACAGAGTGTGAAAGATTTGATTCCTAAAGTTTTAGTTTTTGCAATGAAGCATATAGTAGTTTTATTTACTGAGATAGGGGAAGACAAGACTAGTTAAGAAGGAGGGAAATAAATGTAAAATGAATACTATAATACATTTACATAAAAACCTCACCTAATATATGACAATCTTGGTGATTAGTATATTTCAATCAACAGATTTTAGAAGTTTGCAGATCCTACAAAAATACATACCCAAAGGAATATAAATCATTCTAACATAAAGACACATGCACACATATGGTCATCACAGCACCATACAC